GGCCCGAGGCCGCCCCGCACCTGGGGGGCGGTGGCTTCTCCTCCCTCCGGAGCGGCAGGGTCCTGCGGTGTCCCGGGGGGCGGGGGGTGCCCTGGTCCTGAGGATTTGGAGGGGGAGAGTCGCTTGGTCTGGATTCTGTCCCGGCGTTGGTCGGTATTAACGCACTGTACAGCCGACTCCAGTCCCCGTTTTAAGCGTTGCCATCTTACTTCGGCGGCTGGCCCTCGTGCCAACGAAGAGCGTGTTATGAACGAACCCTCCCGTCATGCCTATGTATGTCCTACCGACTAAGACGTGGTTCCTTGCGGCGGTTGCTCCTGCACGGAGCACGACGTTGCCGCTTCTGTTTCGTCTCCGATAATGCCGTGCCGCGCTCCTAGCACCTTTCCCGGCGTCTTCCTCTCGTAGTCTAGTTCTTGATCGTTGAGCAGGACCGCTCTTCGGAAGCGACCGCGGTGTCCAGCTAGGTTTCCCAGCTTCTCGAAAACCAACAAACGTGTGTCTTTCAGAAAACAGGCTGAACTTGTTTATCCGACTTTAAAAAGTGATTTACCGAGCATTTAATAATTCTGTTGACCGGTTGGAAAAAAGAATTCATTGACTTACGTGGTGACGTAATGCCAGAATTATCTGTTGTTCGCTTTCTGCTGTAAGCTAGCTCTTGGTGTGCTGTCTTGATTGCTACTTTATTTTGTTTGATCAATAAGTATTGATCAGACTGGCTATACCTGGCTGCCTTGGTGTCATCTTGGAACATCAGCTGTTTGCCTTGAATGCTTTGCTTATTGTGCTGCTTTATTACTGAGATTTTCTTGGACTTTGAAAATCTATATCTCTCAGATCTGTCTTGATACCTTTACCAGAGCTGTTTGGACCGATCAGGTATGACTGCTCTTCTAGAAATAAATGGGTTTGACTTGCATTTTTGTATTTCTAGGTGTAGTACTTGTATTACCTATGTGTCTTGCTAGGGCATAGGTCCTGAATGAACAGGTACAGTACACTTGCTTTCAGTGCATCCAGATCCTACTTTTTCTTTAAGTTTCTTTAACAGTTACTGAGGTCTGGCAGATCTTACTGGTATGTAAAACCATTGCTGCCTGCAGCTAACTTCCTTCCACCCCCTTATGGGAGACTGATGTAGATCGAGCGAAAGGAAAGGGCTGTGGCTTCAGCTGCCCTACGAGACCTCGATCATCGTGACAGAGGAGAACTTGCACTGGCTCCACAGTGGAGGTGGCCACCCTGGCAAGGAACAGGAGATAACCAGCCTCGGCAAACACTTTGAGGGTGTCTGTCACATCCCTCGTTTTCATGATGGTAGCTGTCGATGCAGTTCATGTTTGGTTCCATATTGTTCTCTTTCAATACTTGTGTCCGAAGTATCTCACGTGCTCTACCATTCGACCTGGGAGAGTTCTGGGGGTTGTGGCTTAGTTCTGTGCTTCTGTTCAGTTTTTCATAACCTTATATCTGGATCTAAAACCCATTGAAGTTCCCTAATTCTCAGTGTTGAGAGGTGCTCCAATCAAATACAGCTGTCTCTGCAGAAGAGATCCTCGATGATGATCTTGGAGTAATTAGAGGTGGATGTTAAGATGGACTTTTTATTCAAAATAAGCATATGCTAGGAAGTTTTTAATGGTATTCTGCTCCACAAAGTGAAAATACTAGTGTCTTGAGGCTGGTTTTTATTACAGGTTTTTTTCTTCAGAAAATAGGTTTCTGTTTCAAAAACATTGTATACTATCGTGATGATAAAGAATTCCTGGTCACTTGCTTGACAATTCCCCCCACTGCATGCTATATGGGCAGTCTTACTGTGAATCTTGTCTTCAGAGATGTTTTCTCTAAGCGTCTTGATTCAGTAGAAGCTCTTCAAACACTTATGGCAGATACCTTTTCTTAGGCATTGATCTGTGGATTCTTGTGCCTCTTCAGATTTCAAGTGACATTAAGCACTAACTCAAGGTTTTACTGGAGTTTAAAATCCACTCCAGATAGAACTTTCAACTCTGTTTTCTTTTGAGCTGTTGTCCAGATGTTTCCAAATAAAATGCCTTCCTTATTCTGCCTTCCTTAGCCTGTGTGTGAGTGGGAGGACAGGGGATGCAAATCTGAAAACATGTCTCTTGTCATGTTCTCTGTGTATGCCCATAGGTGATGACAGCTCTCGGCAGAAGCTGAATGAGTGCCAGTGGCTCTTCATTTGGGTCACCACTCAAAAGATAAACATAAGGCCACATGGGGAATGTGCTATCCTGCTGTATTTCAGGGCTTTTACAGAGTGGTCGTGTGGCTTGGCTTGAAGTTTGCTAAGACTGTGTTACCTTTATGGTATACAACAGTGGTGTTTTGCCAGTGAGTTTTCTTAGGTCCTTGCAGAACCTGTAAGGTAGTTCTGCAGTTGAGACGCTGTGTGACACACCGTGAAGCAGGGATCCTAATAGCATTGACACCCAGCTCTGCTACAAAGCTGTTCTGTTCAAGCTCAAAGTAGTGACCGTGTCTCAGCCTTGCAGTTGGGTAAGATGGGCCAAAAGCCCAACCAGCGGGACTTGGAAGTTGCAGCTGGAAAACCTGGGTGGTAAATCTCAGCCTGCCTTCGACTGGGGCATTGTGGTGGGTTGACCCTGGCTGAACACCAGGTGCCCACTAAAGCCGCTCTATCACTCCCCCCTCCTCAGCTGGTCGGGGGAGAGAAAAAATATAACAACGGGCTCGTGGGTCGAGATAAGAACAGGAGAGATCACTCACCATCACAGGCAAAACAGACTCAGCTTGGGGAAAATTAACTCAATTTATTACCAATCAACCAGAGTAGGGTAATGAGAAATGAAACCAAATCTCAAAACACCTTCCCTCCACCCCTCCCTTCTTCCTGGCCATAACTTCACTCCTGGATTCTCTACCAACCCCCACAGCGGTGCAGGGGGATGGGGAATGGTGTTTACGGTCAGTTTATGACACGTTATTTCTGCTGCTTCATCCTCCTCAGGGGCAGGACTCATCACACTGTTCCCCTGCTCCAGCGTGGGGTCCCTCCCATGGGAGACAGTCCTCCACAAACTTCTCCAACGCGGGTCCTTCCCACGGACTGCAGTTCTTCACGAACTGCTCCAGCATGGGTCCTTTCCGTGGCATGCAGTCCTTCAGGAGCACACTGCTCCAGCATGGGTCCCCCACAGGGTCACAAGTCCTGCCAGAAAACCTGCTCCGTGGGCTCCTCTCTCCACAGATCCGCAGGTCCTGCCAGGAGCCTGCTCCAGCGCGGCCTTCCCACGGGGTCACAGCCTCCTTCAGGCGCCCACCTGCTCCGGCTTGGGGTCCTCCCCGGGCTGCAGATGGAGATCTGCTCCACCGTGGACCTCCCTGGGCTGCAGGGGGACAGCCTGCCTCACCGTGGTCTTCCCCATGGGCTGCAGGGGAATCTCTGCTCCGGCGCCTGGAGCATCTCCTCCCCTTCCTTCTTCACTGACCTTGGTGTCTGCAGGGTTGTTTCTCTTACATGTTCTCACTCTCTCTCCGGCTGCCGTTTCTGTGTCCCAGCAACTTTTTCCCCTTCTTAAATGTGTTATCACAGAGGTGCTACCACTATCGCTGATGGGCTCAGCCTTGGCTGGTAGTGGGTCCGTCTGAGAGCCGGCTGGCATTGGCTCTGTTGGACACAGGGGAAGCTCCCAGCAGCTCCTCACAGAAGCCACCCCTGTAACCACCCCACACACACACACTACCAAAAATCTTGCTACACAAAGCCAATACAGGCATTATGTAGTGGGAGGAGATCACTAGTATACAGGGGGCCTGGATTCACTTCTCAGCATCTTCGTTTCAGGAGGACTTGGGTTCTGTCTTGTCTGTCTGTACAAACAGCCATCAGCTGAGGCAGAGGTGGGCTACCAAGCAGTGTGGGGGTGATTTGTTGCCCACCTGCTTTTTCTTTCTGTCTTGGGTGATTTACATGAGCAGAATAGCTTCCACAAGAGGGAGTTTCATTTCGGAACATCCTTGGGCCTCACTTCTACAACGCTTGCGTGAATCTAATCCTTGTTTGTTTTGGTTAAAGCTTCTCTACAGGCTTCATCAGGAGGCAGGAATGCGTCTCATTCTGTTGTCGGTGAGGTAGCTTAAGGCGCTCCTCAGACAGGTAGTCTGAAATGCGGTCTCTTGAGTTCTGTTGTACCACCTAGATCATGCCGCCTGCTGAAGTCTCTTGTGGCGTTCATGTTTCTACTGCAGATTTCCTTAACGATAAGGAAGGTGGGTCACTTCTTACCAGGTTCAGTAATTTCATAGTAAGTTTCTTTAGCCAAGAGAGCTTAGGAGTCATAATGAGGGGAACTAGCTATACATCTGATATTACTTGAGTAATGCATTATAGTCTTTTTCTGATGTGAAACTACTGGAATGGAAACACCTAGTTAAAAAGAAGAAGCGGAAGAGGCCTATGGTAGGCTTCCGTCAGATTTTACAGAGCCATATAGACAAATAAGGACAGAATTACTGCAGTGAAGGAGTGTGGTCATCTTGAATTACACATAGGTAAATGCTGTCAAGGTCAGAAACGCGTGGTTGATCTCTGGCCCGGCGTGCCTTTCAGGAGGCTGAGAACATTGCCCACAGGCAGCTGAACTGCTTGCTGGGAGTCTGAAGGAGGCACTTGCAGAGGTCAGCATCCTCGCCTGCTCAGGCCTGTCTTCTCTGGCTACTTTTCCAGTTGATGGTAGGACTGGCTGGAATTGTTCTCTGGAGGTTTCCGTGGCTTCCTGCTGACTATAGAAGGAGCTTTTGAAGACAAGCTGTTTACTACCATAAAGCCTGCCTGAGCAGATTCCACAGTTTCCCCCGCTTGCCTCTTTCTTTGCCACAACATGCTTGATTGGGCCATGATTCTTTTCCATCATCAGTCTTATCCTAAATAGTTGGGAATCTGATTAGCCGCAGAGAAGCATTATCCCTGCTTTACAGATAGGAAACCAAAGTTTAGCCATGCTCTGAGGATATCCGCCCCTGTTAGGTGTCATTTGACGTTGGCCAGGACTGAAAGCACCACTAACAAGGTACTAGCAAATACGGTTACGAAATAATCCTTGCACCTATTCTGTCGTTCCCTACCAAAAAAAGGGGGGAGGGGGAAGTGAGAAGGTGACTAACTAAGAAAGGAAACAAAATTATTTTGTACTTCAGAAAAAAAAAGTTGCTTGTTTACATATAAAAACCCCTCTAGACTTAGCTGCAATAAGATGATAGCATGACTGTATCTAGGATTTTTGTAAAACTTTTCTAACATTGAGGGTTTCTTTCTCCCCTTAAAGGAAGATGTAGATTCTTTTATGAAACAGCCTGGAAATGAGACAGCAGATGTAGTTCTTAAGAAGTTGGATGAGCAGTATCAGAAGTATAAATTTTTGGAACTTAATCTTGCTCAAAAGAAAAGGAGGTAAGTCATAATTTTTGCAGAATTGGGAAATGTTTAGCACAGTTCTATCTTTTTTTTATTTTTTTTTTAAACGAGTCTAGTTTTTTTTAAATATCCCAAGAAGTAAAAAGTTGATGTTAGGAGAGCTAGCATTTGCAGTACTTTCAGAAAAGCTCAGCTTTTTGTCTTTTTTTCTTCCTGAGAATTACATGCAAAAGAATTTACAGTATTGCTGAATTGGCCCTTAGCCTTTAAGGCCAAAAAGTACTGCTATAGTCTCTTAATTTTGTCAGCCTAATGTAAATAAGAATATGTTTTTATCAAATGACTACTGTATCAAGCCTGTAACTTTTGGTTTAGTAATATCCTCTCTCTTCAGTAGCTTCAGTCTGGATCTGAAGCTAGGCAAGAAGCACATTTTTAAAAGCTAAAATCAAAGCTCCAAGTAATGTTTTATTTAGATTAAGCATCTTTCATGGACAAATATCCCCCATGATGTCCACCTGGAGGCCTGCTCTGGCAGTCACTGCTGTCTGAGCCTGCTGGCTGCAGAGGAGGAGCAGCCTGGAGGCTGGTGGGGATCCCAGCGTCTCTGCTAGGCTGCTGCAGGGGCTGTCGAGGAGGGGGATGCCCTCAACTCTGGAGAGAGCTTTTGTTTTAACAGTCTTGCAGCTCTAGCTGTTTGTTAGATTAGTTTGTGGAGCTTAGAAGCAACACGCCTGTTTTGTTTTACCTACAGTGTTTTTTATCTGTATTTCTTCTGAGGTTTCCCTCTCCTCTGGGGAGATCAGAAATATGCAAAAAAAAAAAACCATTTTAGCAAACAGGTATCTGTTACTGTTAATATGTGTTTGTTCCAGTTTGAAAGCTGTATGTATTGTTCTGCTTCAGAAAACTAATGAGCCTCAGTATGGTAAGAGGCAGGTGAAGCTGTAGCTGAGATGCCTTTACTTGCCGTATCTTTCAAATCTGCATTTGTAAGCCTGGAAAGCTGTTAAGAGTTTCAAGTTTTAAAATAGAGGTTGGATTGTATAATAAAACTGATCACTTGTTTAGGAAACTTTGTGTCTCTATAAAATAATAAATTATGACTGTTGTTAATTCACAGGCTAAAAAGTCAGATTCCTGAAATTAAACAGACATTAGAAATTTTAAAACACATGCAGAAGAAAAAGGTAAACTATTTTGAATATCTAATGAGTATGAGAAAAGCTAACTACCTTTCCACCCTGACAGAACACATTGCAAGAAATGTTTTGGAGAGCACACTTAATATGCCTTTATAAATAACAGAATTGTTTTTAAAGGTATGTAGTACTTTTTGAAAGCTAGTTCAAAAAAAGTTAATGTTTGTAATGCAAACTTCACTTTTAATAGTGTAAAGATTGCAGCTAAGCTTTGACTTCATCTCTATTCTTTATAGAGATTTCTATATTGTTTTTAAATACATGTTTTTAAAATGCTTTATTACTGGAGCTCTAACTTTAATGTTGAAGTAAAATTACGTAGAGTTCCACTGAAGTTAATACTGTATCAATGGCAAAAAGCAGAAAAGTGTGCTCTTTATTGTAAGTTTTATGTCTTTGACATAAGTTTCCAGTGAAAATAGCAATTTTAAGTTTTATCATTTGTCTTAAGGATTCCACAAATCCAATGGAAACCAGATTTTTATTGGCAGATAATCTCTACTGCAAAGCTTCAGTTCCTCCTACAGATAAAGTTTGTTTGTGGTTGGGGGTAAGTAAAACAGAACTTTCTCTGAAACTGTTTAAATAACTTCTAAAAGGCTTATAAAAGACAGTGTTCATCACTGTCTCCATCTGTACTTCTAGTGGCTGTGGGCATAATTCTGTTCATGTGTGCATAGTGGAGCTGTGTCCTGTCAGCAGGGCAAACCTAACATGACAATTTCAGTGCGTTAGCGAAGGTTCCATGTTCAATTTTACTTGGTGCCTGAACAGTAAGGTTTCAGAGAATTGTAATTTTGCTGCACTGTTCTTTCCAAAAAGCGTATTCCTGAATGTTTTCCTTACCACTTCTATCACTTTGTGGTTCAAGTTACCATCATCCAGCATTGCCTGGGATGGGAATGTGCCCAGCAAAATAACTTAGTTTGGCAAGTAGCTTCCCATCTTCGCTACTTTATTTTTATTTAGCATCTTGCTGTCCCTTTTCATGCACGTTTTTAGGGAAAGATGGGATTTCTGTTACTCACAGGTACCTGCCAGCATTTAGAGTGGAGTTTGTGCTAAAGACTGGTGGGATCAGACCTCAAAATGCAGATTTCTAAGTACTGAAGCGAGATCAGGTTGGGATATTTTGTATTCAGAGGCTTCCTTGTATGTGGAGATAACCTTCTAATGTTTAATTTGAGACTTCTAAATCCCAGGTGTTCCCAAATCCCTGTGCTGGCTGCGAAACAAAACCACTTGGTTAGGACAGAACCATTGTTGACACGTGCAGCATCTGGACTGACTGGGCAGTTACTCCCAACCTCTCCCACTTTTTTTCTATCACAGAAAGAGAAGATTTGTCTGATACCTGTTGCTTTTAGGAGACTATCTTCAAAATTCACAAACATTCATGGAACATCAGGGGTTTATTTTGTAACAGAATATCAGAGAAAGTTCATCCTTTTGAAGGTTCATACAGAAAAGCTACAATGAAATGCCACAAGCAGTTTATTATATTTAGGTGTTCTTGGCCTTCTGCCTTTACCCTCCTTGTTGCTTACAGTCTGCATGTTGGGCTATGCATATTACTATTGTTGGGGAAACTATATCTTCCAGTTATTTTAAAAGAAGAACGGTTTATCTCGCTCTTGCAGCTCTGTGTAGCATTCCCTGGGATCGTGTCTAATTAGTAGTGTGTGGCTCTGCTCAGTGCACAGTTCTTGAATGGGACAAAGCTTCATTGGTGCATCTTCACTTGATACTGCTCTTTTATCTCTTCATGTGGTAGCTTCTTACTGAAATAAAGATTTGTAGATTAAAAACCACCATGGTATAGGATAGGACTTGTATACATGTTATATCTTTAAATACCTGTAATACTTCTTGTTGATGACCAGTGCCATTAGGCTGTTTGTCAGTGTTCCACACAGAGATCCTAAAGGTAATCTTGAATGCAACAAAAATTGTTTATAGAGTTGTGTGGCACCTAACAGGTGCTGCCAAGAAATGTGAAGTCTCCTGCCGTTCAAATATGGTGAAGACGAGATGCTGGTACCTGAAAGGCTGAATGCAGTCCACAGGGAGGGAAATCCCTCGTTGCTTAGCTATAGGAATAGAACTTTTTTTAAGTCACTAGAGTGATTTATTACTGAGTTACTGAAGTGGTGGAGGCCTCAAGTGGATTCTGGCATTGCTCATCCTGAATCTTGTTGTCTTGGCCTGTCAGGACAGCCTTTTGTTAATGTGATAAGTTATAAACAGCAGCCTGAAATAAGCCTGCTATGGCTTATTCCTTACAATACAAGAGTAAGAGCTTTATCCATCCTTCTTTTTTCAGGCCAATGTGATGCTTGAATATGATATTGATGAAGCTCAGGCTCTGTTAGAGAAGAATTTGTCAACAGCCACAAGAAACCTTGATCTTCTAGAGGAAGACCTGGATTTTCTTAGAGATCAGTTCACCACTACAGAAGTCAGTATCCTTTTTTTTTATTTGTGGGGGAAGAGGTGTCTGTGAAAGCTAACGTAGAGGTAATTACCAATTCCTGACATGTTTTTATATTAGACTGGCTGCCCTTAAAATTCTGTAGCACTCCAGGAACTTAACCTTTTCTAGCAGTGAAATGGGATACTGTGTTTCCAGTGCTGAGCTGAGGGTTGGCATGTTAGATATAGCAAAGCTTGTGTTTGCGATTGGGTCCCCCTGAAACCTACCGCAGTGGTTGCAAACCGAGGCTGGGAGTGAGTTGGAAGTGTGGGTCGGTGGTCTGGATTGATGGCCAGGTGGCCATTTCAAAGCAAAGTGACTCTTCCTTCCTCTCTAGAGCGTGTGAATATTGTTCTTCGGGCTATTGGTAATCATACCCAATTCAGCTGCCATTGCAATGTTCTCCAAGCAGCACAAGCCCTGCTGCAGCAAGCTTGGTGCTAGCTTAGGCGTTGCTTAACTTTTATTTTACTACTTTATACTATCATGAACCACCTCCAGGGGTGTGGGGTTTGGGGTTTTTTTTAATACTTTCTACTTAAAAACTATTTTAATGATGAGGGTAGCCGTCAGCTGAAGCATTAGATTTAGTAAATGAAGGAATAACTACTTGTTTTTTCAAGTTGATACTTAAGCTATCTTAGTGCTGCAGGAAGTTACGGATGCCTGAAATAGGCAAATAACAGCTGATATGGGCAGGTTGACTGAAATCAGCAAAGAGTAGCTGTAAGTAAAAGCGTGTTTCTCTGTAATATCTTTTTGGAGGTTTTTAAGTAAATGGTATAAATGCTGCAGTTATTAACAGTTACTAGTATGCTTGTGTGTTAGGGCTTTGCACCAAGTCAGCTCTTTCATTAAGTGGTTTCTATATTGACTGCTACAAGTAAATGAAGTGTGGCCAACTGTATAACCTGCTTTTCCCTTTTTTTTTCCTTAATGAATGAGCTATTTTCTTAACTCTGCACCCTCAGATATGGCTAGAGTTTATAATTGGGATGTAAAGAGAAGAAACAAGCAAGACCCTTCCAAAAACAAAGCATAGTTTTGCCAATTTTAAACGTGGTTTCAATTTCCAAATATTTTTTATTTAAACACCCCCCAAGTTCATTCTTAAGGGACTGAGTTACTTTAAGCATTTCAGTAAATGGTAAAATATATAAAAACTAATGGTGAGCACCATTTTATTTATTTGTAAACTCGAAATTTGGTTTCATGCATGCTTCATGAAATGAATTACTTGAAAAGGCACCACACAGTCCAGCAAAGGACATAGTATTTTGATCAGACCAGTCTGTCATAAATAAATTTCTACCTGAAAGCTTGTCTGAAAAGTCAAGGGGCATGTATGATATGGAGTCTGACATTTTAGCAGGTTTAGGTAAAGCAGGGGTTTACGTTTTCGTCTGTGTACGGCTGATGAAGTTAAAGTCAGCTTGGGCTGGGAAGACATGCAGCTGTAATGTTCTAGGAAGCAGAAAGAATACAGTGAAGTCTTGGATTTTGTTTCAGTCAGTTAATTGGCAGCATCAACCTGCAAGCATTCCTGGATATCCGCTTTGGATAAACTTGTTTTTAATAGCTACTGGTTAGTTAACTGCCTGTTACTGAACTCTCAGCACTTTACATACAGCAGTTTGCGACTTGTCTTCAGAGAAGAGTGGTAAATGGAGTAAACAGCACAAGCTATGTCAAGACTACAGGTGATCTCACCCCGTTCTTTTTCATACATGTGCACATGTTGCTTATTTTTGCAAATGCGTTGAACAAGGACACCAAAATGCTGATAGCCTGTAAACAAGAAACCCCCTATTTACGATCCCTTAGACAAGATGTCCAGTTCAAATGTCTTAACACTCTCAGCCTCCCACGTGGTGAAACCTGTATTAGATAAGGATGGTTTACTGAAGCATGACTTCTGGTGTTAACAGTTGGAATATTTTTTTGGTTCTTACGAAGCCTTGAAAGATTGTTGCCTTTTACCTCTGCAGTTTCTTTCTAAAATGAAATGCTCGGTGGTGATGTCAGTAGCTAATATTCACATTCTGTGACTGAGAATACAGGTTTCGCTGCAAAATAAATGCAAATGTTAACTGTTTGATCTTCATGTAAGAAACAGTATACCTGTAAATTTTTTGTACTTTTATTTCATGATATTAAAATAGTAAAACTAAACAGTTGTGGCAAACACCTGTTTTTGTGCATCTTTCTTTGTGTGAGAAAGTCATGAATCTGATGTGTGATCTCTTATAATGTTTCCCTCCTTTAGTTGGGGGCAGGAGGGTGAAAAAACTCAGCTGAAGCAGCAGACATGAAAAGAGTAGCTGCTGAATACTGCCTTCAGTGAAATGGGGAGTGCAAGTCAGTGCATCTGAATTTGTGAATACGAGCAAGTGATTTGACAGCACTGTGGCTGTAGAAGAGTTAAGAGCTGCAGGGATAGGCATAAAAAAGGTAAATCCTTACCACAGGTCACAAGTAAGTACCTGGGCTTGGCTCATCCGTACCTTTCCTGCAGGGCAATACAGTTTGTTCCAGTATCTTTGGCTGTAGCAGAGAGACATTTAGATCTAATGTATTATTTGACTAACAGGTATCTGCCCACTGCCATGCTGGGCTGCACGTGGGGCTGCGCAGGCTGCAGGCTGGTGCTCTCCCTTTCTAAGAGCATCAGCAATAACAGGAAAGGCAGCTGCAAACACATCCTGATTTCTCTTGCAATTTTCTCTTCAATTTGGATTAATGAGATCCCAACAGGCTAAAGCGTGCTCCCCTCCCACCCACCCCCCCGGCTGGTCTGAAGGCAGCAATTGCCTGCTTTTGTTGTGCACAATGAAATGACAAGTTAAGCATTTCTGCACGAGCAAAATAAGTACTGTGTGCAACTGCCAGTGACCCAGCGCTGGGTATCAGGGGGTGGGGATGGGGGGGACAGCATTAGAGCTGGAATTGCTCGGTAGGTTCAAAAGGTATCTGGCTTGGGAGGGGGATGGGAGATGGCTGTGGCCATCATAACTCTTGTTTTGGGTGGGTAGGTGGTTTGTTTGATCCGAAGTAAATAAATATCCAAAATGAAACTCACAGACAAGAAGTCCAGCTTCCCTGTGAGTGATCCTTGTCCAGTATTGCTCTGTCCTTTGCTGTTAGGTCTTTGGTATGCTGAGTAAGAACTGAAGGTCAGTTTGCAGAAGCTGTTTTACGCTACTGTGACACTAGTCCTGCCTGCTGCTGAGAAAGGCCTCCTGGAGGGGCTGGCTGAGGCTGATTTTGGCTGCTCCTGCGGGGAGCAGGGGTTTTGTTTTGGGGTTTTGTGTTTTGTTTTAGAATGGCCACTGTTTCTATAGTTGCACTGTTTTCTCTCAGCAAGGTAGTTGGCTGGTTCTGAAGATCTAAGCAGTGGGCCACTTCAGAGAAAAATGTATAGCAGATGCTGTTGCAAAGAGTGCCTGTTTATTGTTGAGCCGAGTCCATGTTAGACTTTCAGTTAGGGCTGCAGTATGGAAGTGGTACAGGTAGTAGATGGCTTACTGATAAAGAATGGGGAGGGGGAAAGAAAAAAAAAACCACCAAAGTTTCTTTACAAGTTTTGAATTTCACATTATCACATGGTAACCATTTTGCTAAATACAAGCATATTTTCAGTCACATACAGACAGCTAAATACAGCATTATTTTCACATTTCGTTACAGTGCATAACAGAAAGCGAGGAAAGTGTATAGTATGCTTTTATTCTGGAGGTTCTGAGCAATTTCAATCTAACATGCAGATTGTTTTTTAACATGTGGTAGAGACCACAGAAAAGTTAGCTTTTTTTTTTTCTTTTTGTCCTAGAGTAAAAGAGCTCCTGACCTTTATCCTGTGAAAGGTATCACCTTCTGATTTCTCTAAGTCCCTCTTGCACTAGAAGTCAAAGCATTAAAACCAGTTGTTAGAAAAGAATTCTTAGCATGTCCTATAAGTTTTCATCTTAGAAAAAACATTCCAAATTTTATACAGATGAATCTACATTTCCTATATTTTAATAAGCTCTCTAGAAAATGCAAGGAATTAGAAAAAGATGTAGATAATGATTTCTCTATCATTTAATAGAACCATTTATTACCTCTAAGTAGTTAAGACCGCGTACATTTTCTTCTGTACTGTTCCTCTTTAGAATTACAACACTTGTATTTTTAAATGGAAGATTTTCTCTGACGGCCTGAATGCACTTACTGAATTAGGCTTTCTGGAATTTCTCTCTGGGAGCAGTAAAGGGGAATGTCCAAACCCCATTAAATAAATACTGGCTGTCTCATGAAAAGTGACCTTTCCCCTGCTGGCCAGGCTCCTGCACAGAGAATGATAGAATTTACTATTGCTAAAATGCCATTTCATCCAACTTCTGACTGCCATTAATGTAGCGCTCCAGCTCTGCCCTTGAGGACAGCCACTACCCTCAGCTAGGCAACCCAGGAGGCACCTCGTGAACAGCTGGACCCTGAAAGACCAAAGCGGTTGCTTGGTGGACTTTCCATTCAGGGAATGAAGAAACTGACCCTTTCGTACTTGTTTGTCCTTGCCCTCATGAAAATACGACTAACAGACCTGGTCTGAGCAAACCTTGCGCTCTCCACTGGTGTCAGCCCATGAGAGCCCATAGCAGCCAAAGCTCCTGTGGCGCTCTGCATCAATCTTCTCCAGCTTTGCTTACCTAGAAAGATTTCGTAAAGGGATTTTTTTTTTTTTAATTTTATTTTTCTTAATCTTCAGGGCACTCAACCACAACTGAATCTGCTTGGAATTCACTGGGCTTTAGCACAGGGTTTTTGATACGTTTATAGCCTATTCAAGAGCAACTGGGGTTAGCAGTGACAAGCTTACTGAAAGGTGCTAAACCATTACCACCCCTCTTTTCCTCTAATTTGCTACCAGTGCCCTCCCAGCAGGTGCAACACTGCTGCTCCCTGGCAGAGCCCAGGAACTGAAATTGTTCCTAGAACACTGAAAATAAAAACGTTATTAATTTTCAGGGATTTGGTTGTTAGGTTGGGTTTGTTGGGGGTTTTGTTACAGCTTTAATATGGAAACCACAGGGTTTTTTCTTCATACAGACCTGCCCATGTGCTGCAAACTGTGAGAACAAGTTCAAAGGGAGAAATAGTCTGAACTCAACAGCAATCAAGAAGACCCACACTTTTATAGATGGGGTAGCTTAAAAAGCTGTAACAAGTATTTTATTCTTCTCTACTTAGAGGCCTAAAAATCAAACACTATATGCTTCCTGTGGTTTTTACCTAACCCCTCCCTCCTGCCCATTAGCAGTTTGGTATATAAAGCTTGCAAACTTGAGTTAAAAAAAAAGTCACTATAGTTTTGTTTGTTTGCTTTTAATAGGCTGAACTTCCCTAGTTTGCTACAGGAGCACAGTTACCGTGCTGCACTTCAAAAGCTTAAGTTAAAACTTTGCAGAAGCAAAGCTTTTAAGTGGTGAATGGCATTCCTAGAAAACATCCACCTACATACAGCTTTTGTGACACGACTACCATCCCATGATGACCAACCTGAGATGGATCCTCTTTTGTCAAATTAAAATATGGAGGAAAACAAATTTTATTCTTGAGCTTGTCTTGTGGCTTCCCTTTCCACCTGCTCAGACACTTCTGTTGTGTGCTCCTCCTTCCCAATGCTAGTTCTTTTCTTCCACAGACGCCAAGAAAGAAAATGACACTTTTAACAGCAGGAAGTACTGATGGAAGCTGTTGCTTTCCATGCTATTTAACTTCTTTAAAAGCAAATCTCACCATTTAGGATGTCTGATGCACCTGAGTTAAGCTTTTCAAGTTTTTTTTTATTTTGTTGGGTTCCCTCCTGCCCCTGCTTCCATTCCTCCTTGTGACCTGGCTGGTAAGACACCCAAAAGGTCAGCACAGTGCTGTTAGCAAGACAGAAATGGTGGTGTGTCCCACCTGGCTGCAACACCCCAGCCTTAAGATATAACATATGAGGACATGGTTCTCTCTTTATGCTCTTGAGCACTTAATTCTATTGGAAAGCCCTGAACTCAGGGTACTTTCAGAGTACTCACCTAGGCAGTAAATGTGTAAAAATGCATTGAATAATTACAACGGGAGCCGGAGTTGCCACTTAGAATCCCAGTTCAGCACAGCAAGAAACAGCACTATTGGGGGGGGAATAATTTAAATTTTAATTATCAACCAAATAACTACTGTTTTCCTCTTTAAATCCCACAGAATATTCTTTGCTATCGAACTAGGTTCAAGAACATAAGAAAGAAAATTCAGAAGTGTGCATACCATGTCAGTAAACTTTTCCTGTGGAGCTGGCCTTACGAGGAAACGGTATCTGTGCTGCCTTTACACCTTCCTGGTAATAAACAGCTGACACAAGTGAAGATGTCCTCTTTCTTTCTCTCTCTCTGCCTATTTGTCTTACTACTAAAGTACCCATACTGTGGCTTCAATACCCAGCATGGAGCTATGGATTTACTTAAAAGAGGACATGTACAGTACCCTGGCATGTGCCAGCCCATTCAGCTCTCTGTATACTCTCTTCTGTCTCGTGCAGCCCCTCATCTCTGCTTCCTGTCTCCTTACAACATCTACATGCACCCTCACTCACTCTCCTTTAGATTTGCAGCCCCCAGTTCTGAAAGGTTATTTGGAACAGAACATTTCTTTCTGGGGTCTGTTCTGGTGTCCAAAACAACGTGGGAGGCTGTTCACAACAGGAGTGTTGCTCTCCCTTCTGTCACACTGAGTTCACTTAGTAAAGTACGTTTGGTTAGTAGAGTTCATCACCACTTGCCTCACTAGAAGAGCTCAGCACAAGCATCGCCTATCTGATTTCACCACTTCTTCTGAAGAGTGCACTACGTTTGGGACAAACCCGCTCTTTACCCCTTCCCATCCCTCCTGGATTGAAATTTCCCCCCTTTTAACAAGCTCGTATATATCTCGAGTCAGATCAGTGAAAGCCTTCTCCACGTTAATGGCATCCCGAGCTGAGGTCTCAATGTACTTCATACCATACGCAGCAGCCAGTTTCTCAGCCTCGTGCCTGGTGACTTGCCGCTGTGTGTCAAGGTCACACTTGTGACCTACCAAAACAAAGACGATCTGGTATGGCTGGACGTGCACCTTGGTCTCCTCTAGCCACTCGTGGACGTTCTGGAAGGACCTGCGGTTTGTAATGTCAAAGAGGAGGAGTCCGCCAACCGAGTTCCTGTAGTAGGCTCTGGTGATGGACCTGGAAATGAATGAGCCACAACAAAAGTATAAGTTATAGCTGTTTGGGAAGAAGGGCAGAGCGAGTTTCATGGGGGGGGTTGTTTGTTTGTTTGTGTCTTCTGATTTTATTTTTTCTTAAGCCAAATGTAGCCCTTCTGAATATATGTCTTTGTTTAAGAAAGCAGCATTACCACCACTCTGTCTACCCTGCAGAATACAGAGAATGCAGGGCAGAGGCGGCCATTCAGGCAATGTTTTGTCACTTTTAGCTTGTGCTCTGTAGAGCTTGTAATTCAAAAAGACAACTAATCTTGGCTTAAAGATTTCATCCTTGGGTAACTGCCCCACTGATTTATTACAGCTCTGTTCAAAATCCCCACCACCATTTTTGGTCTCTGTTTTCTATCATGGATTTCTGTATGCCCTTTGCAGTTAGACTAAAGAGTCCCATTCCCTGCCGTGTAAAGGTTCTCTGAATAACTTGTCTAACCCATTGGTTTAGAAGCACTGTCACAAATTAAAGGATTCATTTGAAACCAAACACCCAGTCTCTGACAGATACATAACAGGAGGGTACAGGTTTGGAAGGCAGATGGTGGGGTTGTAGCTCCCCTCCCTACACCCAGGGCCTTGGCACAGGGACTTCCACCAACCACTACACTCTTCTCCCACTACGCCACCAGTCAAAATGACGTTGCAGCTAATGCGCTAACAGGAGCAGCCGGTCTGACCTCTCGAGTAACAGCAAAATGATACAACAGCTTCCTAGGGGAATCTGCCTTACTCTCGGTCTTGTTCCTGCCAAATACTGACAACATAAAACAGTTACCAAAAAGACCCCCGAAACATGGGCTGAGAAATAGAGCACATCTTCCACAAGTCTTCCGAGCAAGGGGAGACTTCAACGCAGCCAGAAGCAGCACATGAAATCAGCTAACACAGGGCGATGGAGCAAAGCTGAGACCGTGAGGCTGAGCAGAGCTACAGTTCAATGACTGCTACATGTGGAAAAACCAAGAACCTCTAAAACTGTGGTGTTTCTGCAAAGTCATGGATTCTGTCTAAATCCAGAAGCAATGATCGATTTCAGTCCCTGAAGGAATTCACGCTCGGGCCCAAACTTTCCTTGCCAGGAAAATGTAAGCACTGCTGCATTTTTACCTTGGGACAAGTCCTTTTTGGACACACAAGGCTGTTGTTAGGTCCTGTAGTGTGTGTATCTAGCGAAACTGCCCCAAGAAAGGATGAGCTGGAGTTCTCGAGGATTGCTTTATCAACAGACACGCAATGACAGGTGAAAATCTGCACCCCAAACTGAAGAAAGCCAGAAAGGGAGGGAAAAAAGATAGTTGGCTGTGTTTGGATAATTCCTCCTCTCCTAATTATCTGGCTGAGGGACAACAGTAGCTCTGCACATTTGGCACTGAGGGAATTAGATCTGCCTTTTGCTATCTAGCCAGCTGCAAACAGATACTGGCGCTTTGAATTCACCCCCACACTGTCACAGGCATTTCTGCTTCTCCCTTGTGTTCCGTGCCATCAGTCCTGGCTCCTCCCGCCAACATCAACAATGCTCAGGTACATCTGAAAGACATGACAGGATCTAACCTGAACACTGCTTTGAGGTAAAACTAGGTGAAGGTCTCAGTGCCTTTTCTTAAAGCCTTTTCCACAGACTGTTTTCCTTT